ATCTATTTGAATGAAGGTGCTTATTCCTCTCAGAACAACAGATCAGTGCATAAATACAATCCTGTCTGGGTCAATAGGTGAAAAGTATTGAGCTTGCAGCAGAGCACAGGTTGTCACTGGTGTTTCTGTTTCAGGAGCACAGGGTTACACATGCAGAAGGAGCAGTTTTCCTTTCAGCTGTCAGATGAGATGCAGGGCAGAAAATTCAGTCTCTCATTTCTGCTAAGTGTAGAACAGTCTTGCCTGTGGGTGACATCAGGAAAAGCTGTAGATACTGGACAGTGAGTGTATTAATGTTTAATTGCACAGCAGTTACTGTAATAGTGATGAATATATTTCATCCCTTTGGAAAAAATAAAAATAGATTGATATATGCATTTATTATGATGGAAAATGAGCCTTGGTATCAGTTGAGCAGCCATAACTTAAGACTCTGCTTGACAGCTCTAAGAGAGTTCAACCAAAGTGTTGAGGGCACTCTTTCCATAATATTTTTTTCCAGCTATGTGCATATAACATATGCTATGTGCATATAGCATTGTGATAGTCTCTTAACTAGCAAAGGAAAAAAAAGCAGGTTTTTCCACCTTCATACTTCAGAGATTTCATTATGAAGGATTCATTTAAAAAAAGAACAGAGTAAATGTCACCTTCCTATTACAAACATCGTGTTTCTGTAGGAATTTCTTGGGCTTGGCTTACCTGGAAACACAGAGGCCACTGTCACCTTCATGAGGCCTTCAAGAATAACTTCCTACAGCAGTTCAGTGGTCCAAAGGAGTAACATGAGTATTATGTCCAGCTCTGGGCTCCTGAGCACAGGAAAACCAGGGAACTGTTGGAGTGGCCTCAGAGGAGGGCTACAAAAATTATCAGAGGGATGGAACACTTCTCCTATGGGGAAAGGCTGAGAGTTGAGGCTGTTCAGTCTGAAGAAGAGAAGACACCAGGGGATCTTACAGAAGCCTTTCAGTACCTAAAAGGGGATAATAAGAAAGATGGGAACAAACTTTTTAGCTGGGCCTGTTGTGATAGGACAAGGGGTAATGGCTTTGAACTAAAAGAAGTCCAATTTTGATGAAATATAAGGGAGACATTTTTTAGGCTGAGGGTGATAAAATACTTGTCCTGAGAGTTGGTAGATGCCCCATCCCTGGGAACATTCACAGTCAGGTTGTACTGGGCTGTGAGCAACCTGATTTAGTTGAAGATGTCCGTGCTGATTGCAGGGTTGCACTGGATGACCTTTAAAGGTCCCTTCCAACCCAAACTGTTCCATGATTCCATACTCCTGGGAAAGAATGTGATCCAAGTTCTCTATAGTAGACTCTTAATCAACAAAGTAATTTTTTAAAATTTTGCTAAGATTTATGCAAGTAAAAGTACTGTGGTTATTAATATTTAATGTTACACTGAGATACTGAGATGTCCTTCTGGCCTGTACTGTGGTAGATCTTGAATAGAGCAGGTAAAAACCACAGCTGGCACAGCATTCAGGAGAATGGTCTTCAATACAAGATTTTCAAGATAGAAACAGATCTTTCCTTGTTTTTTTCCTTAAGCAAAAGAAGAGCCTGTACAACTTAGACAGGTACTGTTGATGTTTTTACAAGCACCACTTGGAATATGATCTTACTCTTCCATGGTGTTTACATTATTTCCTTTGCCTGAATAAGGGATTTCTAACAAATGGATTGAGTGCAGCATAATGACTCACAGGGATGTTTTTGTTTTAAAATTTGAAGGATACATGAGTTTAAAATGAGGAGAGAGACAAGAACACTGTGCAAAGGAAGGTTCTGATACATCTCTGGTTGTAAGTTGTGAATTGGTCTAGACTGCATTGATTTCTAATGAAATGCAAGTGAAGCAAAAAGGAATTTAGGTAAAAAATGTATTTCAGTCAAAGTTGAAATTACCATGTCCTACTGAACCCAAATCTGTATGAAACATGGCAGGTTCTTTATGGCAGCTTTTCTTCCTTGAAAGACAGCTGTTTCCTGGATCTTTGTTGTGGTTCTCCCACCTCATTTCATTTATGTGGGTTTTGTGCTTCAGTAAATGTTTTCGTAAATGACCTACCCAACCTAAGCCAGCTGAGGTCTCCTTGGTTACTGGGAGGTGCAGTCCTTGCCAGCCCCATCATGATGGCCATAATACTTGCAAGGTCAGTCAGAATGGTCCCCACTGAAAATTAATATCACCAAAGAAGACCCCCTAGGGTAGGTTTGCAGTCAGATCACTTTTCTGACAGGAAGGAACTAACAGAAACAGGCCTGAGAGATGTAACTTGAATTTAGGGCTCTTAAACTCATTATAAACTGCCTCATAGATTTTCCCTGTGCTATCTAAAAACAGTCAGAAGCTGTAGCATGTATGTAGGATGAAGTACTTTTTCTTGTTTCATGCAACTGTTAATCCTGAGAAGCAGTCTAGAGTTCAACTAAGTCATTTCAACAGAAGGAGGAAAGGGTGGGAGACAACTTGCAAGCAATCTGTTCAAATGAAAATTTGTCACTGCTGCAAAAGCTGCTTAAAGATTTTGCCCATTTCCCAAGAAGACCATTTCACCTATCTTTTCAAGGTTAGGCTTGAGTTGAGATGTTACTGGCTCAGCAAAGTCTTAAGCAGAGGCCAGCCCTTCCAGTGGTGCAGAACATATTAATTATGTAGTACTTTGTGGTGTGGACCACTGCCTGTCAAAGATCAGTAACAAAGATCACTGTATGCATTTCAATTAGGAGACTGTGCTCTCTGAAGTAGATTTTTTTTCTCCTCTCTTTATTCTTTCAACAGCCTAGCAACCCAGGGATGGTGCTTCATCTTAGATGTTTTTTTCTGATTCCAGAATAAGTAGAAGAGCTAAGAAATTAGCTCCTCACTAAAAATGAGGATCTAAAATTATCTTCAGATAAATAAACAAATTTATACTTCTTGTCCTTACAGATGCTTTGAAAACAAATGAAATCCTGTCTAAATGTTCCCCTGTCTAGCAGCATCAAAGAAAGATCAAACAATTTACAGTGTCATAATGCTTTCACAAGAAAGGAAAACAGTATTACAGAATGAGTCTTTCAGGCATAGCTTACACAAAGTTCATGTGAGTAACAGCATTTAGCAGTACAATTAGACATGGATGGAGAGAGAAAACAGAGGTCAATGGTTCTTACTTCTGTCTGTGACTTCAGTTACCATCACCAACTGTTCAGCCTTCATTTCCATTGATGCAGGTTTTGAAATACCTTGAAATGGCATGGTATGAGGGAGTTACAGCTTGCATTAAACTGGTAGTTTTGATGTAGCAGTCACTGATTTCTCTAGGATTGGATGTTGAGGATGGCAAACAGAATAATGTTTAAAAATGCCACAGGTATGAGCATGCTTGTTTATCTCATCCCTCTTGTGCTTTCTCAAGCATCAGGATTTTGCATTTATGACCTTTAGTAGGAAGACCCTTGCAATTCTGTCATTTCAGTGCTGTGGTAATTACATGCTGCTTAGCTTTCTCTCTTGTCTTTAGTTAGGAGGTGAATCTCTGCTCTATATTGTGAAGTCTTGCATCAGCAAATGGAAAAGAAAGAGGCATTAGATAAATGCGCATATTTTTCTTTAAAACACTTTTCAGCCTGTCAAATGCTTGGTTAGGAATTCCATGTTAGTGCACATGAACTGTCCTGCATATGTTTTTGTATCCTTCTTGGGAGTCTAGATCTGAGTGTTATCTCTTCCAGTGTCCTGCAAAGTCTGTATTTAGGAATGTTTCCCTTACTATGGTCCCCATGTAATCTAAGCCTAATTACCATATACTGCAGACTGGTTTTTACAGGTCTGAAGTGAATAGGCTTCCTTTATTTCTCTGGACTTCTCTCCCAGCTGATCAGCTGGCAATTTAAAAATATTGTTGTGTTGACTGCATCAAAATTCAGGAGACTAATTTTCAGAGTATTGCTTCATTTTCTCTCTGTTTCAGTAACTTCAGTTGTGTTACTGATTTGAGTCATGCTTTTAATGCCTTTTGTGTAGTGCAAATAACAAAGTTACATCAAACCTGAAAGATTTTGTTCTGTTTTGATGGAAGCAAGTCTTTCCTGGGCTTTTACTTTACTTGGAACTCCGGACTTCCCTAATGAATAAATAGTTTGATCTCTGATGTTGGAAGGCTGGCATCTTATCAAATCAGAATGAAACGAAAGACAAACTGGGTGCTGTTAACAACAACCTAACTTACTTTTTAACAGCTTTGATTTGAGCAGGAAAATGAATAAATGAAACAATAAATATGGGTATTATTATGAAACATTACAGTTTTGCAAAATTGTGTGATGTCTTGATGCCCTGATCTTTCTTCTGTAGAGACATAATTTCTGAGTTTTGGCTATGCAACCAAATAAAAGCTGGTTTGCTGTTCTCCTATTCCTCCAAATGCTTGGGCAGTTTGCAAAAACAAATATATAATTTTTAAAAATTCAGCATGCTTGGGAAAACCTTTTTCAAGATAGGACTCTTAAAGCATTAGAGTTGACCTACACAGCAGAAGGGCTGCAAAAGCTTGATTTGTTTCACCTATACCCTGTGCTTTGTTCAAACTTGTATTGTTAATGCCTCATTTTTCTTGAAACCAAATTTATAAAACGTATATTCACATAAATTCACCTTCTTCTCATATTTTTTCTTCCAGCTTAGGATGCTCTCTTTTAGACTTTTCAAAAGTGAGGACCTATTCCCACAAGCCTCCAGCTTTTGAAGGTGTCAGGTGTTTTGATAAAAGGCTGCTGTGAAACAAACCAGCATTCCCCCTCTAGCAATGGTCCTTAACTTTTGAGGCTTTCTTGTATTTTTAGAATGTGCTTTAAAGAGGATGTATTATCCCACTAATAGTGCTCACTGACAGCTGAGAAAAAGATTTATATAGCATTTCATAGCACTGTAACTTTTGTTGAATTTTTGAGTGCACTATTTGAGCTGTTCATAAAAAAACTTCTAATAAACTCTTCCCACAGAAACTGAAACAGAAGAATCAGCAGCTGAAGCAGATCATGGATCAGTTACGAAATCTTATTTGGGACATAAATGCCATGTTGGCAATGAGGAACTGAACAAGGAAAATCAATCGTCGTAACTGAAGAAGATACAAATCTCTTTGGATATACTTAACTTCCTTCTAAGAAGTAACATATTTTTCCACAATTATATTGCAGTAATGTTTGAAAAGTCTCGAAGATTAAAATGTTGGGTTGTTTTCTAGTAATGTGAATGGTTTTGGGTTTGTTTTTATAGAAGATTCATTGTGTAAGTTTTACCTCTGTGATACTGCTTACAGCCTCAGTAATTTACTGTAGTAGTTTGGATTCCTATGCAGAAAGGGGTTTTATAAATTATGTGTTTCTGGATTTTCTTTATAATGCGATTAAAAATTATAAAAACATATGTTTATATGCAGTTTATTCTGTAGTGCAAATAGCCTCTACAGAGAGGAAAAGTTGCAAGACAGGAAAGTTACTCCAGAAAACTAGGGGGCTGAAATCAGCAATCAGATACTGCAATTCAGTCTGCAGTATTTTTTATATTATCTGCAGTGCAGAGCAGAGCAGAGCAGGACAATCCCCTCCCTTGCCTGGCTGGTGATGCTGCCCCTGATGCCCCCAGGACAGGGATGGCCCTCCTGGCTGCCAGGGCACTGCTGGCTCATGTTCAATTTGCCATTGACCAGGACCCCCAGGTCCCTTTCCATGGCTCTGCTCTCCAGCCTCTCATTCCCCAGTCTGTACACACAGCCAGGGCTGCCCCATCCCAGGTGCAGAATCCAGCACTTGCCCTTGTTAAACTTCACACAGTTGGAGATTGCCCAACCCTTTAATTTGTGGAGGTCTCTTCAGGGCCTTTCTGACCCCAAGGGAGTTGACAGCTCCTCCCAATTCAGTGTCATCCACAAACTTACTCAGTATTCCTTCCCATCCTGCATTGAAGAGCACAGGGCCAAGGATGGAGCCCTGCAGGACCCCACTGGTGACAGTCACCAGGGTGATGTGCCCATTCACTATAAGGGACAGTCATCACTCTGATGTGTCTCATTCACTGTAAGGGACAGTCACCACTCAGATGTGCCCATTCACTGGGACAGTCACCAGTCTGATGTGTCCCATTCACTGTAAGGGACAGTCACCACTCTGATGTGTCTCACTCACTGTAAGGGACAGTCACCACTCTGATGTGCCCATTCACTGGGACAGTCACCAGTCTGATGTACCCCATTCACTGTAAGGGACAGTCACCAGTCTGATGTGCCTCATTCACTGGGACAGTCACCACTCTGATGTGCTCCATTCACTGGGACAGTCACCACTCTGATGTGCCCATTCACTGTAAGGGACAGTCACCAGTCTGATGTGCCTCATTCACTGGGACAGTCACCACTCTGATGTGCTCCATTCACTGGGACAGTCACCACTCTGATGTGCCCCATTGACTGTAAGGGACAGTCACCACTCTGATGTGCCCATTCACTGTAACCCTTTGTGCCCAACCCATCAGCCAGTTGCTTACATGTCATGTGACTCAGTTTTCCAGCTGTGTGCTGGACACTTTGTCCAGAAGGCTTCTGTGAGAGACAGGATCCAAAAGCTTTGCTGAAGTCCCAAAAGATCACATATGCTGGCTTTCCTAGATCACCTAGGTGGGTTTACCTGTTGTAGAAGGAAATCAGGTTCATCAAGCAGGACATCCCCTCATGAAGCCATGCTGCCTCTGAACAACTGTGACTGGTGGTGTATTTCTGTATTTATGTATGGTTGGAATACTTTGGTTTTGTTTATCAGAATGCACTGAATAAAGACCTCATTAATCTTTTCCCTGTGACTATCAGTCCTAGTAAACTTTGGAGTATATGAACAGTTCATTATTTTGAGTTAATCGTAAACCTTCATCTTTCTTTGTTCTGACTTTGTTACTCCTCACAATTTTCATTTGCCCTGAAAATAATCTTGAAATTTTTTATTATCCACAGATGCTGCCAGTCTACTATGTGTCTCTTCACATTAAAAGATACATAAAACAGTAGTTTCAGTATAAATCTGTAGGGCACTTTTAGTATTTATCAGGTTGAAAACTAGCCATCCTCAGTACTTGCTTCTTGTGAATCACTTTTAACTTAGTCCATGCCCAGCCAGATTCCATGGTAGTTTTGTGTGAAAAATTTGTTCAGAACCTCCTGAAGTGTCCAGTTAAATGGTATCCTTTTAAAAGCTACCTTTTTTGCAGTCTAATGGTTTGATACTGAATGATTACTGATTTGAGATTCATGGATTTTAAAAGGTTATACTGATTTTCATAGAGTTATAGGATGGTTTGTGTTGGAAGGGACCCTGAGGGTCATCTTGTTCCTACACCTGTGCCACAGACAGGGTTGCTCAGAGCCCCCTCCAGCCTCACCTTGAGCACTGCCATGGATGGGACATCTGCAGCTTCTCTGGGCAACCTGTTCCAGTGTCTCACCACCCTCACAGGTGTTTTGTTGTTCTATCACTCTCTTTAATTCTGTTTTTTTAATAATTTCAAACCATTTGTCTACTCCTTGAGGTAAAAATCACTCGTAACAGATCCAATCATACCTGTTTAACATTCTGTGACTTCCCTGAAAATAGGTACAACATAGTTGTCTTGTTTCTCTTTTCAAAGGCCATAAATATTAACAGATGAATGGGCATCCAGTCCTACAGTTGAAAATAAAGTGGTAAAAAATGTTGATTTTGATTAGTGTACCTAGAGTTGAAAGTGGTCTGTATGTATGACAATACTCAGGTGTGAGTAGATGTCAAAACACCTTACAAATAAGATCTCTCTTTTCTCCCATGTGGCAAATGCAAGAGTAGATCTCTTACTCTGTGGCAAAGGCTGCAGCAGAATTGTTTGTTCCCTGTTTGGATTCACCACTATGGCAGACTTGCTGGTCAGAAATAATAGTTTTTTCTGCAGCTGTGAGTTGTAACTATTTCATATGCAAAACTTTTGAAAAAGAGATGACTGCAAGTAGAGATTTTACTTTGTTGTTGGTTTAAAATGCAAATGCATTTATCTATTTGCAAGCTGTAGTGGCAGCTTTCTGTTCAGTGCATGCATAAGCATGCAAGTAGCCTAGAAGAAGTATTTGAAGTGGATTCTGAAATTGCACCATCATCTTAGTTATGTAAAATTCTCAGTTCTTCATAGTTTTGTTCTATTTTTGGAACAATTATGAAAAATGGAGATTAGACTTCACTGTACAGCTCATATGGCATCTAGGTCTTCTTACTAAATGTGTTTAAAGTTTGGTGACTTTTTTATTACACACAAACAGTACAGAAGTAACCTAAAATGTGAGTAAGAGTGCAGCTATTGCAAGCAGATGTCTGGGTGATAAAATATTCAGCTTTCTCTGTGCAGCTGCTAGCAGTAGCCAAGGTCTGTGCTACAGTTTTTCATCTGGGAGAGAGGAGAAACACTTCAAACCACTACCAGAATAGATGGGCAGTAGCTAAATTGCAAAGTGCAGAAATAGACAGAATTGTAAATTATCGCGGTAAATACTGTCAAAGCAGGACTGTGCAAGGTGCTGGACCAAAACCATACACTTTGACTTACACAGATGAAAGTAAGGGTAGTGAATATAATTCAAATGCTATCGGATCCATGAATAAGTATAGGATCTGGCCAAGAAGATGACAGTTTGAAGAAAAGTGGTGATTCCTCAGCTGTGAAACACTTGAATGAATTACTGGGTGTCAGCATGTTCTGAAATTTAATATTTTATTAATGCTAACTGAACTTTAACTGCTGCTTAATGAAATGGCACCAGATGAGGTATTTACAAATACCAGTAAAGCAATACAAACGCAGATGTTTCAGTGTTTGGTTTATGTATCATGGACTGTTATGTCATTATATATCATTGAAATTATCTTCATGCTTCTGGCACTGCCCTGCTTTCCTCATGAGGCTGGTGGCTCTCAGAATTGCTGCCTGCAACAGTGCTGGGCTTGCTGTCCCTCCTGAGCACACACAGAGCTCTGACTGGCTCTGGAAGTGCCCCCTCTTCCCTTGAAGCATCATTTTCATGCGACTGCTAATAAGTTTAGCTGCTTACTAATGGTTGGACTCAATGATCATAAAGGTCTTTTCCATCTTAAATTATTCTATGATTCTGTGTCTATTTTTTATATTTTTGATAAGGCAGAAGCAGGATAAACATACTGACACTTTCAAAAGCAGATACCAGAACGTATGATCGTTACATTTTTGGAATACAAAAATATTTGAGGGGTTTGGATTTCCTGGGGCTTTGTTTTGCTCAGATAGAACCTGGGAGAGTAGAGCTACAATGCAGAATAATTTAAAGCATATTTGTGGAAAATAGTCCAAGTTAACACACACTCTAAAATGCCACCATTAATCCAACACCTTTGTAGACAAAGTAACAGCTATTGAGCGTGGGGTGCAGTGTCACAGCACAGAAGATGCCTGCTAGGCACTATGCAAAGTCCAAGGTTTTTCTTACATAAAAAGACAGAAGTTCAGAGCAGATTTATGCCTTTCTCAGGAAAGATGCAAGGAGCTGACCTTGCCTCTTGTCTTCCATAGAGGCAGCAAGGCCAAATCCATGACTCTGCTTGTTGTCCCAGAGAAGAACCCTGCTCTGACTGTAGTATTTCTTACTGATGGAGAAGCTGGAACTTTGGCACAAATGCTACTCAAATTAATCACTAAAGAATGGATTTAGAGGGAGGAGGACAAGGATTCTGGTCTCATAGGAATCAAGATTTCATTGGTGTGCAGGATGGCTGCATAAACTTAAAGCACTACAGCTGAAGGTAGCTGACTATTGCTGTGGAAAACAGTAAGTTCCAGATACAGGTTTGAAGACCTGAAGTTGAAAAAAACTTTAAAAAATGTACAGTGGCACCCAAAGGCACTATGAGTTGGCTGGGGTTGACAGAGGATGGATTAGTTTAATTGCTTCATGCTAGCAGAGGAAGGGGGGGATTATAAAGGAATTTACAAATACATCAGTGCAGAAATAATATTTGGGGAAGGAAGTGAGTAGTTTTCTCATTCCCCTTATGTAATAATAATGAAGTCTGATGTGGTAGAGCATCAAGGCTTTAAAAGAGAAGGGCCTTTTCCTGACTTGGAAGGTTATTCCATAGGTAAAAAGAACAAGCTGACTGATACATATTGCAGGATATTCATTAAAGTGACAGAAAATATGTATCAATGCCAGTTTTTATTTAACACAATGTAATGGATAAGTGGAATGTAAGAGCCGAATAAATACAATATAGTAAAACTTTTGTTAAGTCTAATGTCTCTGTAAATGTTAAGGATTTTTTTTTGCTCATGTTGCATAAGGGCATTCTGGCATCTGTTACAACACTACAGAGCAAATAACACTGT